AAGAAATAATTAAAATAAGGGCTGAAATCAATGAAATAGAAACCAAAAAAGCCATACAAAAGAATCAATGAACAAAAAGCTGGTTCTTGAGAACTAAGTAAGATTGACAGACCCTGGCAAACCTGACTAAAATGAGGAGAGAAAAACCAAATCAGTAAAGTCAGAAATGCAAAGGGGAGATACAACAACACCACAGAAATCAGGAAATCATCAGAGACCACTTTGAGAACCTATACTCTAATAAATTTGAGAATCTCAAGAAATGGACAGATTTCTAGAAACTTATAACCACCCAAAACTGAACCAAGAACATATTAATCACCTGCATAGATCTATAACACAGAAAGAAATTGAAGCAGCAATCAAGAGTCTCCCAAAAAAGAAAAGCTCAGGACCTGATGGATTCACTGCTCAATTCTATCAGACGGTTAAAGAAGAACTAATACCAACTCTCCTTAAGCTGTTCCATGAAATAGAAAGGGAAGGAACACTGCGTAACTCATTCTATGAAGCCAATATAACTCTCATCCCAAAACAAGACAAATACACCTCCAAAAAGGAGAATTATAGGCCAGTTTCCTTAATGAATACCAATGCAAAAATCCTTAATAAAATAATGGCAAACAGAATCCAACAACACATCAAAAAGATCATACACCATGACCAAGTCAGCATCATCCCAGGGATGCAGGGACGGTTCAACATACACAAATCTATAAATGTAATACAGCACATCAAGAGAAGCAAAGACAAAAACCACTTGATCATCTCAATAGATGCAGAAAAATTCTTCAACAAGATTCAAAACCACTTCATGATAAAAGCTCTAAGAAAACTAGGAATAGAAGGAAAGTACCTCAACATTATAAAAGCTATATATGACAAACCTACAGCCAACATCATACTTAACAGTGAAAAACTAAAACCATTCTCCCTAAAATCAGGAATGAGACAAGGGTGCACACTATCCCCACTCCTATTCAACACAGTACTGGAATTCCTAGCCAGAGCAATTAGGCAAGAAGAAGAGATAAAAGGACTACAAATAGGTAAAGAAACTGTCAAAATATCCTTATTTGCAGATGATATGATCCTGTACCTTAAAAACCCAAAAAACTCCACCAAAAACTCTTAGACACCATAAACAGCTACAGTAAGGTGGCAGGATACAAAATCAACCTACAAAAATCATTAGTTTTTCTGTACACCAATAACAAACAAACTGAGAAGGAACACATGGAAACAATTCCATTCACAATAGCCTCAAAAAAAATCAAATACCTAGGAGTAAATTTAACAAAAGATGTGAATGACCTCTACAAGGAGAATTACAAACTCCTGAAGAAAGAGATCGAGGAAGATTACAGAAGATGGAAAGATCTCCCGTGTTCATGGATCGGTAGAATCAACATACTAAAAAAAACTACCGAAAGCAATCTAAATGTTTCCATCAAAATCCCAATGACTTTCATCAAGAGATTGAAAAATCTACTCTAGAGTTCATTTGGAAACACAAGAGACTGCGAATAGCCAAGGCAATACTCAGCAAAAAAAGCAATGCTGGAGGTATCACAATACCTGACTTCAAATTACATTACAAAGCAATTGCAATAAAAACAGCATGGCCCTGGCATAAAAACAGACATGAAGACCAGTGGAACAGAATAGAGGACTCAGATATGAATCCACACAACTATACCCACCTCATTTTTGACAAAGGTGCTAAAAATATACGATGGAGAAAAGACAGCCTCTTCAACAAATGTTGCTGGGAAAAGTGGTTATCCATCTGCAAGAATCTGAAACTAGATCCATGTCTATCACCCTGTACGAGTATCAATTCAAAATGGATCAAGGACCTAAATATCAGACCTGAAACTTTGAAGTTACTAAAGGAAGGAGCAGGAAACACTCTGGAACTAATAGGTATAGGCAAAGACTTCCTCAATACAACCCCAGTAGCCCAGCAACTAAGAGAAAGGATGGACAAATGGGACTTCATAAAACTAAAACATTTCTGCACAACAAAAGAAATGGTCTCTAAACTAAAGAGACCACCCACAGAGTGAAAGAAAATATTTGGCAGCTATACATCAAAGGACTGACAACCAGAATATACAGGGAACTTAAGAAATTAAACTCTCCTAAAATCAATGAACCAATTAAAAAATGGGCAACTGAATTTAATAGAACTTTCTCAAAAGAAGAAATTCAAATGGCAAAAAAGCACATGAAAAAATGCTTACCATCTCTAGCCATAAAGGAAATGCAAATCAAAATCACACTAAGATTCCACCTCACCTCTGTTAGAATAGCCATCATCAAAAACACCACCAACAATATGTGTTGGTGAGGACGTGGGGAAAAAGGAACCCTCGTACACTGCTGGTGGGAATGCAAGCTGGTGCAACCACTCTGGAAAAATATTTGGAGACTTCTTAAAAATCTAAACATAAACCTGCCATATGATCCAGCAATCCCACTCCTGGGTATGTACCCAAAGAAATACAACACAGGTTACTCCAGAGGCACCTGCACACCCATGTTTATTGCGGCACTATTCACAATAGCCAAGTTATGGAAACAACCAAGATGCCCCACTATTGATGAATGGATCAAGAAAATGTGGTACTTGTACACAATGGAATTTTACTCAGCCATGAAGAAGAATGAAATCTTACCATTTGCAGGTAAATGGATGGAACTAGAGAACATTATTCTGAGTGAGGTCAGCCAAGCTCAGAAGACCAAAAATTGTATGTTCTCCCTCATATGCAGACTTTAGATCTAGGGCAAATGCAGCAATGTGGTTGGACTTGGATCACATGAAAGGGGAGAGCACATGTGGGTGACATAGAAATAGGTAGAAAACCCAAAACATGAAAGCGTTTGATGTCTCTACTCCAGAGGAGCTAATACAGAAACCTTAAAGCAACAGAGGTTATCATGAGAAGGGGATCAGGAACCAGGGTAAAGATCAGTTAGAGATGAATCAACATGGGTCATAACACATGTACACGAAAGCAATGCTAGGAATATTTCTGTATAGCTATCCTCAACTCAACTAGCAAAACACTCTGTCTTCCTTATTAGGCTTGTCTCTTTTCTTCAACGAAACTAGTGATAAAGGCAGAACAGGACCTGCCTGGAACTGAGGGGGGAAGAGGGGAGAGGGGCAGCGGGGAGAAATGATCCAAACAATGTATGCACATGTGAATAAAAGAATAAAAAAAAAGTAGACTCGAAAAAGCAGGAAACAGGTAGTGGTTAGGAGAGCCTGAAAAGGGTGTGGGGTGGAGCAAGAGAGAGGATGTTTAATGGGTACAGGGGTGTGGTTGTACAGGAGGAAGAATTTATAATGTTCTAGAACACAGTAGGATAACTGTGTTTGACAACAACTTCTTGAATATTTCAAAATAGGTAGGAGAGAGTGCTTTGAATGTCCACAGCACAAAAAAATAATGTCTGAGACGTGGTAATGCAAATTACCTTGATCTAAGCATTACACTTTGTGTGGATGTACTGAAATGCCATATTCTACCCCCTAAATATGCACGATTACTATGTGTGAGTTAAAAACATTTAAAAACAGAGAGCAGCTGCTCCGGTGATGGATTCTTTAACTCTTATGCTTATTTTTACGCTTGACATATGTAAAGCACATTGAAAAAGTAACTGAGGCAGAGTGAATCTGTGATTCAGGCATCCAGTATATCATACCCTATCACCACTTATATTTAAACTCATTTCCACTTGACAACTATGTTTTGAGCACCTTCTTTGTACAAGTAGTAGAAACCAAGGGAAACCCCTTGGACAAGGCTTGGTCTCCCAGAACCTGCAGTGCAGCACATCAGGAGGCAGGTGCTGATGGAGCCCTTACAAGACAGGTATCTGACAGGCTTGGGGACCTATGGAAGCAGAGGAAGCAGGGTCTCAAGTGTGACCTTGAGGAAAGCAAGAATGAGCCTCCTAAACAGGATTTCCGGCAGAACCAGCTGCCTATGCAAAGGTCTCATGGTGTGAGACAGCATGGCATGTTTCCAAAATGCAAGGAGTTGTGGAAGAGAGGGCATGCCCTACACAAGGTGCAGAGTACTGAATGGATGCATGAGTGGATCAAGCAACAGCCGCCTGAAAATGTCCTGTAATCTATTTACTCCCTACTATTCCCAGCTGTACTGCCTGGCGCCAAGCAGTTCTTTAATCTCCTTAGTCAAGTGTTGTTCTAAGAAAGCAAAAAACAAAACAAAACAAAACAAAAAAATCTATCCCCACCCCTCGCAAGAAGTTTCTGTTTTCAGAGAGAAAATTCAGACAAAAAAACAATCCCCACTCTTGCTCCTAGAAGGACCCAATTTAAGCTGCAGAATTTAAGCTGCAGGCTGCTTTAAGAAAAAAAAGGATGGGCACAGCCCATCCCTGCTCCTGTCGCAAAAGCAAGGTGGGAACTTACAAAAGGCCAGAAAGCATCTGGGGTGCACGAAGCAAAGCAATTTACTGCTCTGCGTACAAAACCAGGTGACAAGTCCCTGCCTCACCTCCAGCACCAAGTCCTCCAGTACTGGGGGAGCTCACTGAGCGCGTCTCTGGAAACCGAGCAAAGCCGGGGGTAAACCATTACCGGCCCTCGAGTTCCTCGGGCGTGAAAGACCGCGAAGTCTGCGGCGCTCAGAACCCTACCAAGCATTACTGCAATGGTGCCTGAGCCCGCCCCACCGTCCTTCCCCAAAACCCGGCTCCGGGAGGACAGAAGGCAAGACAGGTGGGAGATTTAGGTTCGTGAAGGCAGGGATCCATGAAATTCCCAGGGGGGAGAGAGAAAAAGTCCTTGGGAGGGCAGACGCCATCCCCTGCACAATCTCTCCCTCCCCGCAAGGTCTTCTTGGGATTCCGGCGGGAGCGGAGGGGAGAGGGGTCGGCAAAGGCCCTTTTATTTCTGAGACTCTGGAAGAGAATCTAGGGCAGGAAAATCTCCACTGTGGGATGAGAGCTCTCACCTGCAGCCCCAGCCCTCCCCGTGCTGGGAAGGGAGAAGTGGGGACCCCGGCGGGCGAGCGCTGTACCTGACTCCCGCAGCGGCCTCCGCGCCTGCGCAGTGGGCTCCGGCGGCGCAGAGCCGGGCGCCGGGCCTCTTGCCCCACGGTGCGCATGCGCTGCGCTCCGCCCGCCTCCGCCTCCCTGGTCCAGCCCCGCCCAGGAACGAGGGTGCAGCTGAGGCTTGAACGCGTGGACCTGTGTCCCGCCTTCTGCCGGGCTGGGAACCCGGGCAGACACTCGCAGGGCGCGTGTTTGGAAAGCAAGCATTCCTGAAAGCTAAAAGACTTAGCATTGAAGAAGTTGATTTATCATTTGAGGGACATTTGTGGGACCTCTACAGCACCTAAGCATTTTACGCTGTCTAGCAGACTGTCCCCACTTTCTCTGGAGGGAGATGAAGTTCAGAAATATGAAGTAAGAAGTCCAAAGTCAGAACCCAAGTTTATCTGGTTTCAAACCCCAAAGATCCTTCAGTCACGCCATCAGTGGGGTGATGTACATGGGGCTGAGAGAGAACATTCTGCCTTTTCACTTCAGGCCACAATTGCTGGGCTTAGATACAGAGGAGGACAGTGTGGAATCTGAGTCGGAGAGCACTTTCAATCTTGTCCAGTCCGGGATAAGCTGTTCTGTCCCCAGGACTTGACTTGAAATTGTGTCTTCTGGTGAATTTTCATCTCACTCAGTTTTGCCTTCTAGGCTAAATGTAGCCACTCTTCCTCACAGGGCAGACTTTCTGGGATTTAAGAAAGCACTCCTCAGGACCAAACAGCTCTAGGATTCTGTGGGGCTGGGATAACAGCAGAATTCTTCAGAATAACAAAGAAAGAAAGATACACAGCTAAGGTACACAGCAAGTCTTGTGAAACTTGTTGAATCTATTCTTTGAACATAAAACCACTTCAAGGAAGTTGTGTGACTGCATCTAACTCTTGGTCCTAGGGAGTTAATAAAATCCCTGAAGATTCACAGGAGAATTGATGGAAGACACTGGGATGTGCAGGAAGTGGTGCCTGACATTTGACTCTGAGTTCTCCCAGCTGCCCTTCTATGTCCATCCTGTTCCCAGTCTCCTCCCCGGTCTCCTGAGACCCTCAAAACACTTTACCTATTCTGAGTTAAAACTAAAACCCTCTCAGAATGCCTCATTATTCAAATGATGTGACCTGGGTAAATAACTTCCCTTGGAGCTCAGGGTCAGTATCTGAAGTAAAGGTTTGGTTTTGTTGTTGTTGTTTTGTTTTTTTTATAATGTGCTAGGGATTTGAAGGCAGGCCCTCCTGCAAACTAGGCAGTCACTCTACCACTGAGCCACACTCCCAGCCTCAGTACCTGGATTTAGATGTAGCTTAGACGAGATGCTTTGAGATTTCCTTCCACTCTACTGCTAAAGTATTAGAGGTGTAAACAGCCTCAGGATATTCCTACTCAACTCATTTCACTTAAACATAAAAGAACAACTCTCTGTACACTATGGGAATTGTGTACTCTTGATCATGGAGGAGCAGAATTATTCTAGGCAAAGGCACCATGTCCTCCCACCTGTGCTTCTCTCTGAGGACCTGCCTTAAGATTTCCCAGTCAGAGTCTTTTAGTAACTTAAAGGATGGAAGGTGAGTGATTGAAGAAATATCCAACTCATGAGTTCCTCTCTGTGAGCAGCTTTTCAAGTGCTTGGTGGGAAGAGAAATTTAATAAGCCCGTGACTTGGTTTACTTTGATAAACAAAATTGAGGGGCAGAATAAACATATTTACTTCTATAAGAAAATATGCTTGTTTTGAGTTCAGGAAGACAAATATCACATGTTTTGGTTTGTATGTGGAATTTAGACATAATAACAAGACATAAAAAGGGGGCACTGAGAGGAGAAAATGTGAAAAGAGAGGGTAACGGTAAAAATGATCAATGTACATTATTTATATGTATGAAAATAGCATAATGAAACCACAAAAATTGTGAAAGAAGGGGGAGAAGGTACAGGGGTTAAAAAGAGTAATATAAACCAAGTGAATTTCATGGAAGTACATTATATGCATGTATGTAAACATGACAATGAGACCCCTTTGTACAGCTAATTTATACTAACAGAACAATTTAAAAAGGAAATAGGCTGAAAACAGGCTTGTGTTGAAAGGAACATGAGCAGTGAAAATTCCAGCAGTAAACTAAAGGAATATGTGTCTGAGTTGGTTTCCTTACCATGTTTCTCAGCAGAGAGAAGGGAAACATTGACGCAAGTCCCAAATCCTTTTCTTAGGAGACATGCTAACTTGGTAAGGCACTTTGAATTCTAAGCTCCATATTCTTTTCTGAAAATAAGGAGAAATTCTTTGAAGAACTATTGAAAAGTTAAAAGAGGTAATGGACATAAAATTTCTAACAGAGACTCAGCAAACAGGAGCTTGATGCTGCCCCCAAGTCCTGGCATGAGCCAGAAAGTCTGCGCACCCTGCGTAGTTCATGGGTGCTCTTTCTTCTGTCTGTCTGTCCAACTTTCTATGTATCTACAAAGCCATGAAGCACTGGTAGGAATGAGATTTCAATGTATTCATACTTTAATAAATATTGTCATGGCTCCTTTTTGTAAAGTTTCTGTGCCGAGACAATGATAATCGGTCTACCTGGATTAACACAAGTTTTCAGTGAAAGTGCAGGAGCCATGGCACATCAGCAACACAGTCTTGATTAACTGGAAGACTACACCAGTTCCCTGGCTTCCAACCCCATACCATGTGCCCAGTGGATATTTCCCTTCGGGCCAGTCCTGACTGCCACTGTCCTCCAGCTCCATGGACTGTGAACTTTTCCTGTTCTAGGTTCCTTGTGTGAACACCCAATGTCTGCCATTGGGAGACACAGTGCCTCTTTTTCCAGCTACTTGTAGCTCTACGGGAGGTCTCCATGTGCACTTGGTGGAAGAGATCACTTCTCTCCAGCATCCTGTTCCTTACCTAGAAACACAGACATTTCACAGATCATTCTACAGTTCCTTGAGGGTGAACATTTAAGTGTATTTCCTTCTTTTAAAAAGTCTCACTGAAACTTCCTAGCTAACAGTCATTGAGCAGTGCCCTTGTATTAAGTAATGATGACAGCTGGCAAGGAAGAAGGTATGAATTGGATTTGGTCTCTGCCCTAAAGATGTTCAATTCTATTCAGGACCCCAGGGTTATGGACACCTCACAGAGCAGAATGTGCCCTGCAGTGACTTTGCTCTTGGGGGTTCTGGAATTTTCAAACAAAGGGATTATGAATCTGTTAAAGAACCAAGTCAGAACCAGAGGAGAAGGCTGCCAGGCTAAGAGAACCAATGACCCTGTCCCTTCTGCCTAGGTGGGCACCTGTCAGCCAGTTTTACATCTCATCCTCTAGGTGCAGTGGGTTTTGCTTTCCTCAAATATCTGCCACTCTTTCCTATAAATGAAGATCACATCTTTTCCTTGTCCAAACATTGCTTTCTGAAGCCTTTTGCACATTTTGCTCTTTGTAACTTCAGTGTCTTCTCCTGTTAGTGCTTTATGGTTTTCCTGTATCTTCTGCTGTGTTCTGGCCAGCTGCAAAACGATCCAGAAAGAGGATCTCACCAATACCCCAGCTTTTCCTTAATAACTCTTTCCTTCCCCACCTCAATAATAACATTTTTCTAGGACATTGTTGACACTTAAGTTCTAATTATAATGATGGTGTACATTTTTCTAGGTTATTTTGGATGCTTTAAAAATACTATTTGTATGTTCTAGTGGTCATCTAGTTTTCTCATTCGGACTTCTGAGTAGTAGAGCTGGCAGAGTGGCTCAAGTGGTAGAACACTTGCCTTGCAAGCATGAAACCCTGAGTTCAAACACCAATACTGCCAAAGGTAGTGGGAGGGAGGGCAAGGCAGACTTAAAGTACTAGAGCTTGAGAAATCATGTAGTCCAGATTCCCAAGCACAGGTGACTTCCCTGTGCCTCAGATAATGTTTAATGATGTCTGGAGATGTTTTTTGTTTTTCATGACCTTGGGTGTCGCAGGAGGAGATGGGAAGAATTAAAGCATCAGCGGTGCATTGGCCATGGATGCTTCTAAGCCACCTATAAGCCACTCACACAATGTCACCCAATCCAGAAGGCTGTGCTGGGGGTGGGAACTCATGCCATTGTTAGGTTTGCCATGAGATGGTTGAACCATAGAGAGAAGATATGACTTGTCATCTAGCTAATTAGTGACAAAGGATGAATTTGAGTCTTGTTTTGACTTCAGAGTAATTTATTTCTATTACAATAAGTCTTAATTTTGAATCTTCACAGCCCACATGGTATTATAGTTTTTTACAGATGTAATTGTATCCCTAATAAATTGCAGTCTCAGAGAACAGAGACTTGTCATGGTGGGTTTTAGCATTGTATTTGTACTTGTTGTATTGTGCTTGATAAGAATTAGTACTATAAAATATTAAACAATAGAACCATGATATTCAGTCAGCTGATCCTTATTATCAGAGACAATTTTCTGCAGATTACATAGAATAAATGAAAAAGTAGTCTTGCTCCACTAAGCAGAAACAGAAAGACTAAGGAATGGAAATTTGGAAGTAGTGTGATATCCAGGAAATATTGAATTTGGCAAAGGGCAGGATTAACAAATATTTGTTGAACTAGAGAATTTGACTTGTCTCGCTCTTGGCTCTATAGCTCATGAGGAGGTCTTGAAGGATTTATATGCTCTTTACTCATCTGAATAACTCCTTCCCACTGGAGGGCACAGATCCAATCAGAGAATAGCCACTCCTAAATGTCTCTGGGGATACAAGTTCCATACTATTATTGGAAGAGGAATGGTAGGTCAACCTGTTTCCACAAAACAACTGGATAAATGTTCTTTTTCAAGGTCTATTGCAGACCCCCAAAAAACTTATTCAGGCTTATTGCTCTCTTTTTAAGTCATTGGAGATTGGCATTTTGAAGAAAATTCCTGTGGGGTATTTTGTGAACTGGATAAATGTCTAAAGCATACAGAAAATCTCTACTGGGAACCCAGAAGTTTATGGATGGTGTAAGCACATAGCCTGCTTAAAAATTTTTCCTATCAGGTTTCCCAATAAAATAAGGGAGAAACCAGTTAAAAGTGAATTTCAAGCAAATAACTAATAAACATTTTTGTGATTTAAAATAAATTTCCAAGAAAATTTTGTTAACGTTAATCTCCAAAATTCTAGCCATGTTCCTCTGCATACCAGAGATTGGCAAATAAAATGTCTAAAGGGAACTCTTTTATAGACTATATGACAGACATAAGTTATAGGAAAATTCTTCAAAAAGTAAAACAAACCATAAGATCTACATTTTCTTTTTTATTAAAATTTTAATCACAGGAAAGAGAAATGTTAGAAGCAATTTAAGAATCCAATTCTACATCAGATCCTTATGAAAGAATAAGGTATAATTAAACCCTGGCACAGGAGCTTCTTCATGACCACATATACTGTGACAGAGATTAGTATCTCACAATAGCTAGAATCAACAGTTGGGTGGAGCACTTGGTCAATCCACTTTTCAAAACATGAAAGTCTTCCTTGCTTTTTGTATGCTTTTCTCATCCATGGGAGGCTTCCTCTGGCTACCAGGCTGGAGAAGCTTCTTCATAGTGGGCAAGTCACTGATTCTGGTTTTCAGGGCCTACACCATATAAATCACAGTCTCATAGAGGAGCCCAGTGACCAAACCAACTATTAGGAAATTTGAATTCCTCCTGGATGAAGACTAACTATGTCCCTTCATCAGCATCACTATGGCGGCTGAGAAGACAGACACAGTGATGAGGAATGGAAGAGATAGAAAACATAGCTTAATAGCATCTACCACAAAGATATCTTGAAGACTTTATTCAGTTCCATTCATCATTGCCTTCTTTCTTACACATTAACCCTATTGATTCATGGCTGTGGTACAATATGAGGAAGAACAATGCATTTGTCAGATAACAACTGGAGTTGTCTTCAAATAAATGAAGACATGGCAAAATTGTGTTAGACTTGTGAAAGGAAATATTAAGGGTGAAAAGGGGCCAGTCACAACCCACTGTCACACTGAGAGATAAATACGGGTTATGGGGGACTAGGTGTATGTAGGGGAGCTATACAGAGACAAATACCACATCTGAGAGTCGGAGCAAGAGCTGAGGGTAGGAACAGATGGTAAGAGTCCTGGTCAGATAGACTTAGCATGTAAAGACAAGGGCAAACCTGGGGTAAACAGAATCCCAAGGAAATCAGGAACAGAGCCCACAATAGAGTAGGAAGCAGAAGGAAGAGGTGCTGGGTTGTGGGTCCTTCTCATTATGAAAGGTAAGATAATACTGAAGTGTAGTATCCACCTCAAATTTCATTACATAAATTTCTTTTAAACCTTTAGAAAAAGTGCCTGAAAATTCTTTTGAGAAGCCCCGGGTTCCAAATATTAGATTCACAATGGGAGAGGCAGGGCCTCATCTTGTGAGGGCTGTGAAAGAGATCACCTGCAGCAGAGGGAAGCCAGCCAGGATGTTGGAGTCAAGCTCCTCCATGTTGTATACCATTTCAGCCAGGTGAACGTCAGCCTTGCTCAGTGTGTTGCCAACAAGGTATTCTTGCCCATGGCTCTTGAACACCTGCAGAGTTCAAGGGATCAGATGATGATCTCAGAACCAGACTGGGGTTCCTGCTTCTCCCTGAGCTTCTAAACCCTACTGTCTTCCTTCAACTGCCTCACTAGGCAGGGGTGGAGCTGCAGACCTTTCTCCATGTGCTGCCTCATGAGGCACAGTGAGAATATCTGTCAATCAACTGAAAGGGTGTTGTCCTAAAATTTCAAGATGTTCCTCTCCTCTCTATTTTCTCCATTTCCTCGAGAGGTGGTTTGGCCTTCATGGCATTACCTTCCAGCCAGGAGACCATGTCAGGGTCTAAGCTTCTCCCCTTGTCTGCTCCTCTATTCCTTGTTATCTATCTGGGATCTAAAGTAGACCTGGGTGGACTTAATCTCACCATCTCCTTTGCAACATTGGCTCTTACTCCTAATTTCTCTGCATGAGAAATTCTCCAGGATTAAACTGCATTGATGCCTGCAACTTACTTTATAATGTGTAAAAAATAATGTTTTCCTAATGGAGAGAGAGGTGGAGAGATAGACTTGTATGATAAAGCCAACATAATAGTATGCTAGTTTAGCAATATATATGGACAGTTTCTATGTTTTATTTTAAATAATTAGTAGAAAATACACATGGCACCACCAAATAAAGGTAATATTTTGGCAAATACCCTCTCTCACTATGTGTATACACACACAACATGGATAATTACTCAGTGAAAAAACTGAATACAATACTACATTCTGTATTATAATTTGCATTGTTCATTTATGTGCAGGGGGTTCTTTGATTTCATAACTTGGATGAGTTAGATGGTGATGGCTGGAGAGTTTGTTATCTTGTGATGTGCCTGAACTCTTAGCACCAGAGAAGGAGTATCTGACATCTGAGTGCTCTCAAATAGCTCTTTCCTTTCAAGAGCACAGTCAGCAATGAATTAACCTTTCCTAATGGATGTAAAAAGATGATGTAATACAATATGATGTAATACAATGAGTGTTGAGGAGACTGTCTACTACATTAAATTCTCATTGCTGACAAATGCAAAAGTGCTTGCATTTACCTTTTCAAAGGCAGGAAAATAATGGTTTCTTGCTTTCTCTTTCATCAGGGCAAGGTTTTCTTCTTTTTTCCCAGGTGGATGGGGTAAAGAATAAACATTTCATTCAAATCTGCCAAACCTTCTGAATACATATCAATCCTGAAAGACAAAAACAACCAACTGCCAAAGGCTCCTGCCTTAGACTTTATAGTTTAAAAACCTCAGAGAAAACAGCACCAAGTGGTGGCCAAGTACAATTCACCTCCAGTGGGGTCTGTCATGAGCCAGCCGCTGTGCTGTGATTTTAGTTGTACATTAACATGTTTCTTTATGCAATCTGCAGAAGGCACGTGTGTCTAAAATTTTTGTTGTACATGTGACCAAATGCAGGAACAAAGAGCATCGTGGCCCCTGCAGAGTCACAGTCCTGAGAACCTGGTGCAGTCACTGCATGTAACCAATCCTAGAAACAAGGTCTGAAGTATCACAGTGCTGACTGTGACACTGTAGCACTGGCTTGGGTTGTGCAAACATGCTGTGAATCCTGAGCTAAAGACTGCTGAGTCAGCTCAAGACAGCTTGAAACATGTCCTGCTCCTCTCACCCTGTTACGCAGCCCAGGCTCAGATTTTCAATGTTAGAAACTCTCCCTGCGACTTCCCACAACACGTGACTCCACAACCCTCTCCATGTACTGTTGACTCCAGTCATGCTTGCATCTCCTGGGACCCCACCCAAAACACCCTGAAAAGACACATGTATTTCAACACATGTATACAATGTGCTTATATGTAAACTAGTGCTTATTACAGGAGACCTTTACTTCTTTTGTGCCAAACTGGACTTTTACAGTACTTTTTAACGATAATAGCGTTATTCTCTTACATTTGCAAATGATAGTTTTCAATCCTTTAAAGTATGATATTGAGTAGTTTCTAATACTTTTGCAGAATTCTTCAAATAACAGCAGCTTCTAACTCAAACTTTTTTGATCACTTCAAAATAAAAGCATGTATGATTTTCTTCCTATTTTGAAATTCACATTTCTTTAAAAATTTTTTTATTAGCATGTTATTGTTGTGCTGGAGGTACACTGTGACATTTACAAAAGTGCTCACGATGTATTCAGGCATACATTTATTTTGGGAACATTCAAAATCTTCTCCACCTGCCATTTTGCAATATCCAGTTAATTGTTCTCAACCATAGTAATCCAACTCTACTACAGAACATTAGAAGTTCTTCCTCCACCCAGGGACATCCCTGTGCCCATTAAGCATCCTCTCTTCACCTTCCCTCCCACATAGTTTTCCCAGGCTTAGTTAATTCCCTACTTCTTTGAGATCACATTTGAGCTTCCACATTTAAGTAAAAACATACAGTGTTTCTTTCTTTTCCTGACCTTTGTCACTTACACAAAGTCTTCCCATTTTTAATAAAAAGAAAAGAAAAGAAAAAAAGGAATACACATGGCACCTGTATCCCAGGGATACAGGGATGGTTCAACATACACAAATCATCAAATGTAATACAGCAATGACAAAAAACACATGATCATCTCAATAGATGCAGAAAATGTCTTTGACAAAATTCAACATCCTTTATGATGAAAGCTCTGATGAAACTAGGAAAAGAAGGAATGTACTTCAACATAATAAAGTCTATATACGATAAGCCTACAGCCAACATCAATATTAAACGGGGAAAACTGAAACCATTTCCTCTAAAGTCAGGAACAAGACAAGGGTGTTCACTCCACTCTTACTCAACATAGTCTTGGAATTCCTAGTCAGAGCAATAAGACAGGAAGAAGAAAAAAAGGCGTACAAGGTGTGGTTCTTATAATTAGATTTTTTTCTCCTTTGTGGATCTGTTCTATGCTGAGTATTATACTTTTATGTTTTCATGATAGAAGTTATCATCCTTTTGCTGTTAGTGGTAGATTCCCTTAAGCATTTCTTTTAGGGCCAGGCTTGTGATGATGAATTCCCTCAGTTTTATCTTGGAAAGTATATTTCTCTCTCATTTCTGAAGAATACCTTTGCTAGATATAGTATTCTTGGGAAACCCTCTTACAAGTGATTCTGACATTTTAATCTTGCTGTTTTTAGAATTCTCTTTGACCATTATATGCCTCAAGTAAGAATCTTAATGATTCTATCAGGGGTCATTTAAGCTTCCTGGACCTGGATTTCTGTATCTTGGCCATGATTTGGAAAGGTTTCAGCAATTATTACTTTGAATAAGTTTTTCATGCCTTTTTCCTCTGTTCTTATGGAATACTCATAATGTGAAGGTTTGTTTGCAAATTTGAAGGTTTGTCCTTCATGTCTTGGCTTTATTCATTTAAAATTTTGTTCTCTTTAAAAATCAATTGGGTTATCTCAAAAGACCTGCCTTCAAGCTCAGAGATTCTTTCTTGTGCAAAGCCAATTCTGTCAAACCTCTCAGCTGAATTTTTTAATTTCATATATGAAGTTCCGCAGCCCTAAGATTTGATTGGTTAATACCTTAAATTTTCCCCATATTTCTTATTCCTATCATAAACTGTCTTCTGAATTTTGTTGCATTGTCTGCCTAGAGGAGCTGCCAGCAGTTTCACCCATTCCTCCCAGTGGGAGGAAACTTGACAGCTCTGAAGGGACTGATTCAGCCTGGCTGCTTTAGCCCTACAAGACCTTATTCAGGTGACTCCATTATCATGGGCACCAGCCTCTGTCAACCCTGTCACACAGAATAGTTTACACAATTAGCTAATAACTTAGCTCCTGGTTATTTCTGATCATTTCTGGAAATTGAAAATCAGCATACTGATAGAGAAACCCAGGGGAAAGATGTAAAGGCAAGTAAAAACTCAGGCCCAGCCAGGCCCCTGTTTCAGGCCATTCTGAGAGAAACAGAGGATGTCGTCCTTCATCCACAGATGTGCTAGTGTGATATGTTGCAACCTCCCAGTGAAAGGTTAACCACCATGTCTGCTTTTGTCCTTCCCACTTGCTTTCTTCTGCATTCTGAGGCATAAAAACCCACCAGCCCTGAGCTAAAGGGCTGGTGCCATTTTGGAGAGATCCAGGTGCTGGTCTGCTAATGTAAATAAACCTTCCTTTCCTCCAACCACCTGGGTGTTAGTCTTATTCTCTGTGGTCCATCCTTCTTCCCACAACATTTTCTGGAGGCCCTGTGAGGGAACGGGTCCCTGCTCCCTGGTTCTGCAGCCTGTGGGGGTCCCTGGAACCAGGAAGTGCACACCCCCGATGTGATTCTAGGGTCTCCTTCCAGATGACTGAAGGAGGCTGTGGAACTGGCAGACTGGGCCCTCAGACTGGTGGAGTGAAATGGAGATCCGTGCTGGATGTCTGGACCAGGTAGGAAGTCCCAGGGTAGTCAGTGTAAGGAGTGGTGCAGACTGATCCTCTGCAGGGGGCCAGCCAAACCCCAGGGTGATGCGTCCCTTTCCTCTGTGACCAATGTGATTCCAGTCAACTGGGATTACAGCAGGCCAGGATTTTAGGGGAAATAAATAGGAACTGATTGTTTTAAACTCTGAGTGAATGGTGTGTGACTGAGTGACTTGGCTCGCTTGTGTTTCAAGCTTGAATTTGTGGCTCCACAGCTGGGCACCTCTAAGGTCCCCTAAAGGCTACGGAGTCCTAGTGGTCTCTATCTGCGATTTCATGGTGGTTGGCATATGGTCTATGGTGGGATTGGACAAGCATCCGATCGCAAGTCACCCTGTCGGGCTGAACCCACTATTGCCAAGCCACATCTGACACCATTGACTGGTGTTACAGCCAGACAAGCATTGTGTGGTCTCTCACTGAGAGGCACCCCCTTCCCTTTGTCCTGTGGCATCAATAATCACCAGGCACATATAAAATGGGTTCCTCTGTGTCAAAGAACCCAACGGTGCTCCAGACCATGCTCACTAACTTTAGGGGTGGCTTTTCAGGTGACTATGGAGTCCGGATGAAGCCAGAGACTCACTTTTGTGAGTCCGGAGAATGGCCCACCTTCAACGTAGGATGGCCCACAGAGGGCACACTGGACCTAGCCACTATTGCCTGTGTGAGAGACATAGTCGTTGGGGATCCAGGTCATCCAGACCAGTTTCCTTACACTGACTCCTGGTACATCCAGGCCACCCGCCCACCTGACTGGCTATGTTTTCATGCACCCCAGAGACACACAGGTGTGCTGGTTAATGTCAAAGTAAAGGAAAAGAAATTTGAGGTCCACCACACCTGGGAACCTGAGCTGGCAGACCCACCATCATATGTCCCTCTGGTGCACCCAACTGCCCAGGTCTCCCTGAGACCTGAGTCTGACTCAGAGGACTCCAACGGAAAGGAAGAGGCATTGGACCTGAACCCCCACTCATGTCATCAAGCAGCTCCCTTGTTATACCCCTCCCCCACCTTTTTCTTCAGTGGCCCCAGAGAAAGATATGAGACATTGGGGAAGGTCACCGAACTCTGGAGGCTAACGAGCAAGGAGGCCCAGCTGTGACGCTATGCCCCTTCCACCAGACTCAGGGGCGGCCATTACCCCGGGCGGATGGGTCATATGTGGCTGGACCATGCAATACGTGTACCAGCCCTTCACTACCACCAACCTCCTGAACTCCAGCAGCACACCCCAGCACACTCAGAGGAACCACAGGCTGTAATAGAGCTCTTGATCAACATCATGTACAGACACCAGCCCAACTAGGATGATTGCCATCAGCTCATGTCTACCCTCTTCACTTCTGATGAGTGCCAGTGAGTATACCAAGCAGCCAGAGCATGGCTAAGCTCCACACAGACTGCAAATCTGAAGTGATGGGCAGATGAGAGGATCCCGACACCAGACCGGACTGGGATCCAAACACTCCCTATGGGCTCCAATCCATCCAGCATATGAGACAAGCCATCCTGGAGGGAGCCTGCCAGGGGAGCAATCAACCTCCCTAGGGTCAGTGAAGTTACACAGAAGCCTGATGAGCTGCCTAGCCAATTCCGTGACCAGTTATGCAATGCTTATTGTCAGTATACCCCATTTGACCCTGAAGCCCCCGAGAACTGGTCTATAATCAACACCACCTTCATCCAACAGTCTGCCTCTGATGTTCACTGAAAGCTACAAAATATGGAGGGCTTTGTAGGTGCCGGTATTGACCAACTCATCAGTATAGTGGCCAAGGTAGTGGCAAACTGAGAGGAAATGGCCAAAAGAGAAAATATCTGAAAAAAGAAGGCAAAGATCCTGGCTATGGCCCTCAGGGAGGGAAATGGGAAGACTGAAGGCCAGAAGGAAGGCCCCAATGGGAGAGAAAAGAGAAATGCCCTGGGGAAAAATCAGTGTGCCTATTGTAAGGATGAGGGACGTTGGAAAAATAAGTGCCCCAAAAAGAAAAAAGAAAGAGTGACAGTGGCTGCCGCCAAATCCAAGGAAGCCTGCAATGTAGAGACAAACACAGCCTGGGAGACGAGTCTGACTGAGGGTGACCGGGCTCCCTTTTGAGGCCCTCAGGAGCCTATGGTCAAGATTGACATTGAGGGCCACCAAATAGACTTCATTCTGGACACTGGGGTGGTCATTTCCACCGTGACCACACCAACCTGTTGGCTCACCAAGGACTCAGTCACCATTATAGGGGCCACCGAAAACACCAAGAAGTACTGGTCCTGTGAACCCCAAGAATGCATGGTCTGCACCAGTTTCTATACGTGCTGGCGAGGATGTGGGGAAAAAGGAACCCTAATCCACTGCTGGTGGGAATGCAAGCTGGTGCAACCACTCTGGAAAAAAATTTGGAAGCTTCTTAAAAATCTAAATATAGATCTAACATATGATCCAGCAATACCACTCTTGGGGATAGACCCAAAAGTCTGTGACACAGGTTACTCCAGAGGCACCTGCACACCCATGTTTATTGCGGCACTATTCACAATAGCCAAGTTATGGAAACAGCCAAGATGCCCCACTACTGACGAATGGATTAAGAAAATGTGGTATTTATACACAATGGAATTTTATGCAGCCATGAAGAAGAATGAAATGTTATCATTTGCAAGTAAATGGATGGAACTGGAGAACATCATTCTGAGTGAGGTTAGCCTGGCCCAAAAGACCAAAAATCATATGTTCTCCCTCATATGTGGACATTAGATCAAGAGCAAACACAACAAGGGGATTGGACTTTGAGCACATGATAAAAGCGAGAGCACACAAGGGAGATATGAGGATAGGAAAGACACCCAAAAAAACTAGATAGAATTTGTTGCCCTTAATGCAAAGAAGCTAATGCAGATACTTTAAAATGACAGACGCCAATAGGAGAAAGGGACCAGGAACTAGAGAAAGGTTAGTTCGAGAAGAATTAACCTAGAAGGTAACACACATGTACAGGAAAGCAATGCGAGTCAACTCCCTGTATAGCTATCCTTATCTCAACCAGCAAAAACCCTTGTTCCTTCCTATTATTGCTTATACTCTCTCTTCAACAAAATTAGAGATAAGGGCAAAATAGTTTCTGCCTGGTAGCGAGGGGGTTGGGGGGGAGAGGGAGGAGTGACAAGGGAGGGGGTACGGGGTAGGGGGAGAAATGCCCTAAACATTGTATGCACATATGTATAAAAAAAAAAATTTAAAAAAAATAAAACAGTAGCAATTCCTTAATGTAACCAAATATTCATATTTCTAGTTCTTATACAATGCCACAAATTATTTTTACACTTTAACACCTCATCCAAATAAAATACATACATTGTGACTAGTTTCTAAATTTACTTTACTGTCATATGCTCACTGGGAAGAAGAAATTTAACTATTTTTAGGTAAAGTCTGTTCATGTGTATCTTCAAAACTGGGAATTTTTATTTAAGGCACAATTCTCTCTTTTTTAAAGTTTTTGGGTTTTTATTTGAGACAGGGTCTGACTATGTTTCTGACTGACCTTGGAGTCACAATCCTCCTGCCTCAGTCTTCTTTGTGCTTGTATTAGAGGGATGTATCACATTGTTGCACCAACGTACAACTCTTGAGAGATCATTCAGTGAGAAACATCTCCTAGCTAATGTGGGAAAAGTATCACATAGTTAATTTTAGGTCCAACTAGCAATGGCCCAACTCAGAGCTTACCTCCACTCCAGCTGCAGCCAAAAGCCACCAGATGGACTCCATTCTGCCCCGGGCCTCATCATAGGGAAACAAAGGCTTCCCTGCCATCCATATTAGCAGTCTTGTGGTTTCCCTAAATATGAATGAATGAATGAACACACAGAAGCAAAACGTATACTGGGATTATGGTTAATAATGCAACACTACACACAGACTATCTTCCTTTTTCATGGAAGGACTGGAGGACTCTAAAGAAGATCCAAATTCTCACCCATCAGTGGCATCATCTTGAAGTTGCATTAAACCAGGTTCATGTTTGCAGCTGTCCACACTTAGAGGATGTAAACCGAGCTCCTCAGGTGCTACAGTGGTGAAGTGCCTGGGAGCCTGTCCAGGGGCCTTGTAAACCAGACACAGCACTGACAGGGAAAGGATCAGGAGCACAGCCTCCCCAGGTCCTGGGCTGCTTTGTTCAGAAGTTTTCAATGTGGTTCAGTCTCACTCTGACTGGAGCCTAAACCTAAGTTCTCACAGGAGAAGTTGCTGATTTCTTTCTCTACTAGAGTCTATTTTTCCATTGCTGCACTGAATTTTATGTTACTGTTTATGTACTGCTATGTAACTTAATATTGCAAGCAAAGTAACTAACCTATGTTTACCATCTATCACATAATGGGAACACTAAGCATATGCGGCACTGGTGTATTGTTTCTCCCTTCAGATTTTCCAAGTTACAGAGCTAGAACGGATCTGAAAGGTCCACGAGCCCTTCCTCTAAAATTGTGCTGTTTTCAATCCTATAGATAGTGTGTGGATTGTCCTATAGGTAGGTAGTGACAAAGCCTGGATTTGTTCTGATATTCTAACTAGTTTCTTCCTGCTGTATCTTATCATTGAATATTGTAGCTTACAAAATCTACTGTTTTGTTGCTCCCTTCCTTCGCTGCAAATCATGAGCTCCTTTTTTCTGTGGCATGTTATACAACAATCAGTCCTTACTTCAAAAATAGCACACAGTTTTAGTAGCTCAAGAGCCACACTTTTTTTAAAAAGCATTTCCTTTGCAACACTCAGCATTTTAAGAATATAGTTACTATCAAGCAATTAAATAAGCTAGGATTGTGGTAATAAAATAAGGAATTGTGATCCACAAACCTACCATTCAGCTGTTCAAATAGTATTGCCAAAGATATGAAAGTCTCCTAAAGACACATATTTTTTTTTTTTGAACAGGTCAGTACTTTGGCAGAGTAGCCTAGGGGAGTATTTACTTGGCAAATACAAGTGATTTGCAAATTCTCTGTTGATCTGGGAACATGGCAATTCAAGAGAAGGGCATAATTGTTTTTAAGAAGGAAACCCAGGTCCACTTGACTCACTCTCCTAAAATCCTATACATTTAGATTGTCCTGCAAGTATGGTTCTTTCAACCTTACCACTCTTTGGACTCGGCAACATTGAAGGAAAGTAGGAAGAGAAAGAAAGGGGAGTGAAGACAAAGACAAGGAGAATGGAGGAGTGGTTCAAGTGATTGAGTGCTCCTTTGCAACTCCAGTTCCACCAAAAAAAAAAAGAAGAAGAGAGGAGAAGAATGAGGAGCAGTGGGAGCAGGAGATGAAAGGAAGGAGAAGGAGGATACAACACAGGAAGGAGGAAAGAAGGAGGAGAAACAGTTTGCTTCTTTGTCCCTGCTCACAAAGTCACTTAATGAACAAGAAGCAGATGCATGTGAAATCAATTATGTAAATATAAATTTAGATTACGATTGGAAAGCATTGATGGCTGGTTTCCAAATTGGACATTCTGCTGCAAGAGGCAACCAACCATCCATTACATGTTATTTTCATTGTTCAAGATGGCCCCCAATGGATGACCCCACTATATTTAAATCCAGGATAACTGAGTGTTGACCCCTGCATGAATCACATTAACACATCTTAATATAGAACACAAGTTTTGTGCAAGCTCCTACACACCTCCAGGTACGGTGTGGCTCTATTTTCAGATTGCTGATAGTGAAACCCCACTTACTTTCCTTGTATCATCAAATGCTCTGCCCTCTTTTTATAAAATTCTTGGTTATTTTTTTTCCTTAAAGAACTAATAAACAATTCATATGCAGAGGCCAGGGATGCCTTAAAATATCCTATAATGGACAGGACAGCCCCCAACATAAAAAATTACCCAGTCCAAAGGGGCAGTCCTGTGGAAGTTGAGAATCCCTGCCTTAGCCATTCTCCTAGTTTACCACAGTTGGTTGAACTCCAGAGACAGGATGTGACTTGTCCCCTAGCAAAGTAGTGGTGAAGACTCAATGAGAACTAGTATTCCTGACATGTAGACTAATTTATTATTATGTAGACTAATTACAATAAATCCAATTTAAAATTTTCACAGCCTGTGTTGAATTACAGTATCACAATTCACAACGATTGCATGTTGATTACTTGAATGGTAAAAGCATTTCTAGCATGACTCCCACACCCCTCTCCACTGGGCATAGCCTCAGTTTGTAGAAAATGGTGCTCTCTCTTTTCTCCTCATGATGAGACAGAGGCATAGAGGGTTAAGATACAGATTAATGGGGTTTAGACAAAATAGCTTCCCTGAGGTGCGAAACTGTGAGACTGTGAATGTGGTCATACCCAGTTTCCAGAGGCATGAAGAAAAAAAGGCCTCAATTTTTTTTTTTTTTAACCTAAGCCCTTCCCAGTTGTGCCCCTGGGACATGCACACAAGGAAAGTGAGAGTAGCCTTCATTTTCCAAGTAAAAGGCACACCAGGAGGTGACGTCAGAGGCTTATGAGACATGCAGTGTTGAGAACAGCATGGAGAGCCTCTACCTGTGAGGAGGGCGAGAAGGCTGCACCCCAGGAATGGGGAAAGGTACAGGAATCCTCTTCCCCATGCTCCCTGACACTTCCCTTGTGCTAGAAAAAGCATAAAGCCTTCACTCCTGCATGCCAGCATCTCTGGCTAATTCCTGAGGGTCACTGGAACCCACAGGTCCCTCACAACATTGAATTTCTTATACCATTAAACTCTCATATCCCTGTTTTCTAAATCCTTCTTAACATTTCTGTAAAGATGTATCCAATACAGACTGTTCCCTCTTAGCTCCAAAACACAATGGAGGCACTGATGTGTTTATAAAGCTATTTATTCACTGAAACACCACCTTCCCACTGATGGGGAGGAGTCCAGTTAGGGAAATTGTAAGGAAATATAGGCCCCAAAAGTGACCACGTGGAGAGGAGTGATCTGGCCAAGAGATTCTTTATTGCCGGGTGGGAGAGGGAGAGAGCAGAGAGAGCCAAGAGAGAGAAGCAGGAGGGGCAAGGGCTTAAATACCCCTCAGTGGGACTCGGCATGATCTGATGATGCTGATTAGAGGTTGGGGCAGGAGGAGGATTCAAGCTAGACTTGAGGCAGGACTGTGACCCTGGGAGGCAGGGCCGTGACCCTGGAAAACAGAGCTTAAGGGTGCAGTAAGAACTGACACCTATCGGCGCCATTATTGCCAACAGAAATCACTCCCAGAGTTGGGGGCCAAGATTTCCTTAATCAATTAGAAAGAAAATGCTAAGTCATACTCACACTGCAAAACAACTGCTAACATGTTTCAAGGATGGCCATGAAGCAGTAAGCAAAATATTTCAGGTAGATTTTACTGTCTCTGCCTTCAGTGAAAATTTCATGTTTGAACAATGGCGAAGGACAGTTTTCATGAAAGGAGTGCAAGTGAGGCAGACTAGAATTAAGGAAAGATCAGGACTGTTAGAACATATATGGCTTAATACTGTATTTGAGGTTGAATGTTCTTCTCTTTTTTTCTGAGCCTTCTTTTCAATTGCAGATGTGTGTAGGTTACCCCCACCTGCCTCAGGGACCATCCCTGCTCCTTCTCACTCATGGATTATTGGTGGTTGGGAATCACAGATTCTTCCCTTCTCGTAGGTTAGGTAAGTTTTAAAAGCACTTGAAAAGAGAAAGACTCTCTGCTTCCAGCTTCCACCTGGTCCCATAATGCTCCCTCTTGATAGTCCCTTCCCTAACTTTAAATAAACTCCATTACACCCACATGTCCTGCCAGGAATTCTTTCACAGGGACACAAGGAATTTGGAAATTTCTGATCAGAGACAGCACCACTGCCATTAACACAAGGACTAAGATGAAAAACTTCCACTTGGGAGACTGCATTTATAAGCTCAGAAGTCATAAACAAAGGACCATTTCATTCCCATACAGAACAGGTGACCACATAGGAACACTTGTTGAGTTCAGAAACTCAGCAATGTTCCACCAAGGTGAATCAGGATTAAGGTTTTTATAACAAAAAGGATGGCCCGATGCATAGCTTCCCATTCTTTGAGCAAGATAAACAGGATTAAGGCAAATTCCACACTAATCAGGGTGGTGGTATATTTTGTTAGACTGTGGGAGTGCAGTTAAGAGGCAACACAGTCCATTTGTTATTTCTCAAACTTTACGACGTGCTCTTAGACTCTGCAAAATGACTGCCTCTGGACAATTCACTGCCCAGCATGACTTGTGAGTGTGTGTGTGTGTGTGTGTGTGTGTGTGTGAACTTAACCCCACTGCTGCATCTCTATGGCTCGGAAAGAGTTCTGCTCTCTTTTTAACATTTCTGTAATCATTTTGACTTTTATGCTTTCACTTCCCCCTTGTCATCAAATGTCTTCAACAGAGACCACATAGATGAACTTACAGGTGTTTCTACTGCTCAGGGGAAATCCCGCTGCACTGGGAAGGCTCATTCCTGGGGATTTATGTCCCACCGAGGAGGAAAAGATTGGTGATGTCAGCAGTCTGCAGAAAAGAGGCCTTTAAGGAGTCAGGCCAAGCTGCAAGAACAAGGAGACCTAGCTACTGGGGCAAGTCAGCTCCACTGGGGATGTCTTGTGGTTTAGGCTGTCAATATGGTTCTAGGTTGTTGCAGGTCGGCTCAGACAGAGAGACGGGGCACCAAAGCTTTCAGGAAGGAAGTTTATTAAGCAGGCCAGCAGTGACTCGGTGGATTCTCATCCAAAGGCTGAGCTCCAAGAGTAAAGGGAGCTCTCCTTATATGCCGTTTAAAGCAGGTCAC